ACTTGAGAAGTGTGGGTAGTACGTCAACAACTGAAGTTTGGAGAAACTGAATTTTTACAGTGCTTTATTTTTGTACTTTTTACACCCAAAAATTTCATCGCCCACCTGGCTATGATTAAGTTGTTCAAACAAAATGTGTTCACACAATTTTTTCTACCATTGCATCTGAAAACTGTAGGTACTAGGGGTACTTTTTTTTTTCTTTTAAAGGGGATACTTTAGGTTGAGAAACACCGATCGAAAGCATAAGCATTTTTCTTATCCCCTCACTTCACCAGCATCTCTTACTGGATACAGAGGAGCCCAGCACTCAACCAGAGCAGACTTTTGTCCTGTTTACACACTTGTTCTGCAGCACAAGGGGTCTTCTGCTAGGCAGCTGCCCCTGTTGTACTTTGCACTGAAGCTGAGGCACAGGACAAATGGGCAAGTCAGCACCTGCCCAGGAATGAGAACCCCAAGTCAGTTTGAAACAGCATCCCTGGCTGCTCTAACAGAGCAGCTGCACAACTGTATGCAGGCACCCATTTCAAGCAAGCTTTGCTCCCCTGTGTCAGTTTCTTCATTGTGTAATCTGTGCTACTTTGACAGGAAGGAAGAGGTTTAAGAAAGAAAAACTACTCACTATGCAGCTTTTTTTTTTTAAATGCAAGAAAAAAGTGAACCACCCTTCAGCTTGCTCAAAGGGGCAACTCCATGAGATACAAAATGCTTCCTTAACCCCATTAATAGATTAGCTGATTGTTATCCCAGCCACTCTTGTTCCCTTCCCCCCTTCTGGGCCTTCCTCCAAACCTACCCTATTTACATCTGTAACCGTTTGGAACTGAACTACCTGTGGTTCTTACTATAGATCAGTCTTTCAGCCTGAACATTTCAGAAAAGATTAATAGCATAGAACCATCAATCCCACATAGCTCTGGGAAGTCCAGAATCTACATCACTCATACCCACCAAAAGAGGAAGTCTAAATAACCCTTTGATGTAAGAGGGACCTCAGATACTTCTGCCTTCTGATGATGGGAAGTGGGATAAGTGGTACCAGCTAGTTCTTGGCACTATGGCTGGTCATTAAGTATTCTAAAGCAGGGCTACTCAACTTTGGAAGCCCCGGGGACCACAATACTCACAGCACATGCTGAGGGCCGCAACCTAAGTGTGGTCGCATGTACATGCAATGCAAATAGCTTCTTCCACACAGAGGGGCAGGAATACAAAGATTAAGGCAAGACTATACAACACAAGCCCCAGTTCTGCTGCTATTAATAAAATACAATATTTACCCGATTTCCACCCATAGGACAGCACTTTTAACAAGCAATGACAGCCCAGGAATTTAACTAGTAAAACGCATCTCAACAGAAGACCATTATATTGACTTGCCGTAGTAGAGTGTGTTCCAGTGGAGGCCATGTTCAAAGGCTCTCACTGCGGGCCATGTGTTGAGCCCCACAAACCCAAACCGCACCACGGGTCGCAAACACATTGAGTAGCCCTGTTCTAAATGATGTTCAGTTTAGCCCTCCTTGGAAAGAGGCTGTTTTCTAGACAGAAGAGAGGGTAAGTTAAAAAAATTATATCCATGGTGTCCAACCAGCTCTGATGCAGTAGCGGCTACTGCAATAGCAAACTGGCCACACTCAACAGGCCAAATAGCCACATGTGGCTAGTGTGTTGACACCACAGGATTACGTAAAGCAGTTCAAATCAGTCATCATTTTATTATAGGCATCAGTTACAGGAAACCACTTAAGTGCAGGCTTTTCTACAGGGTGAAGGTGAGTGGCAAAGTGAAAGCAAGTGAGGTACCATCAAGGAACAATTCTACAGGAACAGCTAAGTTACTGCAACTCGAGGACTTTGATCAAAACTTATTGCAGTGGAAGGCCGGGGGGGGGGGGGGGGG